CTGATCCCGTGCGAACCGTTGCAAAAGAGCGATTGCACCAAAATGTTCGTGCTGTTCGGCTTGAAGGAGACACAATCTGCCATTACACATGAGAAAGTCAGCTCCACGTTGGCTACTCCCCGGGAGAAGCAGTACGCGTGACAACTTTCCGCTGCCCACCCTCCCCGGATTCTCAGCGCGCTCAGATCTTGCCTGCTGGAGAGCTATGGCAGTTTGTCCCCGATGCATCGGTTCAACTTACCATCGCTATTATTGATGACCGAATTCATGATGGTTACATCTCGGCTGCGGTATGTGTCCCATCCGTCGGTATTTTTAGCCATGTTCTGACTGACGCTCGCACCAGCAATGTCGATATTGTTGAACACGACGTTGGAAGCATTCGCGACGAAGTGATAGTACTGTGGGCTACGCCGCAACCTCAAGTCAGAGAGCACGCTGTCTCTCAGCCCATCGATGCCGACAAGCACAGGCCGCAAGGTGTAGATGTTTCGAGCATACTCGTCGTACCACACCTGGCCATTCCCGTCGAGCGTACCACCTGCCTTGCGTCAGCCATCAAGTACAATGCATATACAGGTGTTTCGGGCTACCCTCCCGCCCCGGTCCTGCGGTGTCACAGCAGCTGTCGTGGGTGAAGCTCGGCTCAAAAGGAGGCCCGCGAAGAAGGGGCGATGGGTATCTCCTGACACCCAGCGGGCTCTTTTGACCACACATTTCGCACCGGAGAATGCCACAACTTTGACCCCTCTTTGGAAGCCCCTCGTACGGCACACGGCGCTCGGTTTCGGAGACGACTCAAATTTTAAGGCCCGAATTGACCGCCGTTACGGCCGGGAGGGAGGACGAACGATGTGCTACGCTCGCAAGCAGAAAAGGGGAATTGCCAAGGAGGCCCTACCTCCGTAGATCCACACGTCTTCTCCTCCGAGCTTGAAGAATGAGGTGACGTTTTGGAAGAGGAACTCGAAGGAGTTGTTCTGCCAGTACTCAGTGTCGTTGCTGAACTGGATATGGCCTTGGATGTCTTCCTCAGCAAAGGAGTCAGCGGATGAGGACCCAGTTCCTCCAGCACGGTCAAGGGCGGACATGATCAGGTCATACCAATGTCAACATGCCTCAGGAAGGTCAGGTCGATCGCGGTACGAACGAGATACGTTACGCCCCGGAGAAAGAGCACATGGCCCCCATCGTTGCACTGGTGGAAGGCGAAGAGGATGTTTGGGGAATCGTCTGTGATCCCGTCCCCGTACGTGTTCACGACGCACACCTTGGAGCTTGATCGCCGTGGGGGGTTCGGGAAAGGAACTCTCGGGTTATATGGCGCGGGAATGAGTGTTGGTCTCGGTGAAAGCTGGTACTCCAGCGCCAACGCTAATGAGAGCGCCGCGGAGAGGAACACCAAGGGCTTCATTTTGACCATCGACCACCTTTGACATCAGGAGGATGGATACTTGTGCTACGCAAGCGACGCTGAAGCAAATGGGATCCAACTCAAGATGTGAGGAGACATTCCAGGGCTTCTCGTTTACCCGGTAGATACGCGAGATCGCGGAAGAATGCTCGCTGGATCGATCTGTTCAACACTCGGGCAGCAATATGCGAACTTAACCGCATCATCGCAAATTTACACATCACTAGCTTACCGTCACAACCTTTCCTCTTCGTCGCAGCAGCTAAACTTGATGTTGTTGTTGTTGTTGTTGTTGTGTCAGTCTCGAGAGAACCCCTTGGACATTTTGCGGCTGCCGCGGGTTGGTTCAGGAGTTCCCAACGCCAGCTGGATGTTTCTGTGGCTTCACATGCACCCTTTCGTCACAATCAGGGCAGGCGACAGGAACTGCACCGGGGTTGACACGGTGACCGCACTTCTGCGGTTTGCTCATGCTCAGGGCTGTGGGCTGCAAATTGGCTGATGGACATAGCGAGAAGATGGCAGCCAGTCGCACCCTCCAGCGCTCTCAACCCCACGCCTGACAAACAGCACCATCGCGCCCGCGTTCTGCTGGTCGATAGACCATGCCAGGCCTGCACGATCACGATCGTCATCTTGATCTGTCACCTATCAAACCACCCGCCTGCCAATGAGGTCGGTAGGTTGCATCGCGCTGTCCGGGTATCTGGCAACGACGCCTGCGAGCAATACCGCATCCGGTCCTGATACCGTGGGCCCGTCAACACCCACGGACACGGAGCGGGATGGCACCTCCCCCCATTCGCCGGTCCTGCGCGGGAATCCCGCTGCCAAATGACAGATTGACATATCACCCACGGGCGCTCATGCATCTGCTCGGAACCGTCTAGCTCTTTGATGCGCGATGAAGAAATTGGAAAGAAACCTCCGGGAACGCCTAAAGTCTTGCAGCTTCGCCGGCTTCAAACACCACGGAGTTCGAGCCTGTACGACCCCCGTGTGGAGCCCCGTTCAGCATGGGGGGAGCCGGCCATCTGCATGATACTACTGCAGCCTCTTCCGAATATGCACTACACCAGCACCGATGGACCCCCCTATCAGCTGAATTCGGTTCCGCCTCCCGGCTTCCTAGCTGCCGTCGCGAAAAGGCGTCGTACGCCGTGGCGTCGAACGAGGCCAGATTCGGGCATTTTCTAGCGACCCATGATCTCCGTTGACGGGTGTGCCAATGCAAGTTCGAATGCAACAGGGATGGATGGGGCTCTTTTCAGTTCGCGGCCCCTGCCGGGGAACTTCCAGTCGGCATCTCCAAGACTTCAGCTTCATCCCTCTCTCTCCCTCCCTCTCCCTAGATTCGGAAAAGCCCGCGCAACAAAAGCATGTCGATTAGGGCTCGGCTTCCATCAAGTCGCCGAGCGGCGTTCTCCCTCGGGCCGATCACCCAGCACCCAGCGGCCGGCTCATGTATTGGGCGAGGGTGGGCACTAACATTAGGAGGGAGCTGTTTGCCAATCGCATGCCTCGCAGGGGGAGACGCCCAGACGCTGGGTTGGCCGTCTTTGCCATTCACGTCTTGCAAGGAAACAGCTGCGATGGTGCCTGCTCTATCTCGCAGGTGTCCACGCAGCTGTGAGATTCTAGCGGCTTGCGGGACAGATGGGTTCGCTGATGCGCTACTACTCTGTACCCACTGTCGCATCTCAAGGCAACACGCTGGTGCCACCGTCCCATGTACCTGGTTGGGCGCCGATACTATCGAGATCGAGCGGGAAACGCGGAGCGATCGACGGCCCCCAGCTACCAGAAATCTGGTCGGAGCAATGAGAGAGCGCTTTGCTTGACCGCTGATCCAGGATGATGCCTCTTGTGGGCAAGGTCGGGGCCTCGGGCGCGCATCGGGATTGGTGGCCACGCCATGTATGCCTGGTTCTCGCAGCAGCAGCAAACGTTGGTAGGAAGTGGGATTCCCCCCTTCATCCCGTCACCTGCACGACAGCTCAACAATTCTCCACGTTTTGACACCTGTCACTTCACGGCAAACCTGACTCCCCGGTTTGTCTGAGCCGAGGACGCCACGCGCATCACCTCCTATTCTGGCGAGGCGCGTTGCCAGCGTGCATTCTCTTCGACACATGAGACCAGTGAGGGTGTGTTTCTCCGCTGTGTTTGGCCCTCTGACCGACATCTGGCATCTGGAGATGGCTGCACGTCGGCAGTAGAGGACAGAGTTGGCAGCTCCGCGAAGCAGGACGGAAAAAGGGAGGGAAGCTCGTTGGTGAGGGGTGAAGCTCCCACCTCCCCGCCCTGGTCACCTGTCAAAGACTCTCCGCAGGTCCCACAATGCGGCATCTGCACCTCTTTGCGGAACATTGCACACCAAAGAGCTAGGCGTTGCGTCACCCTGGCCAGACGAATCAGTTCGGGTGCTGGACCCTTGGACGCTTCGAAGACAACGGGGAAGGGGAAAGGAACCCGCCACATGAAGCAGCCGGTGACACCCACGAACTAGATTCTATGATCGTCCGTCATATCTCGCATGCATCGGTGCCATCGTCTGCACCCACAATCTCCGTCCATCGGTTGCTAGCTACTCTGGCTCGCTTCATGTACTGTAACCAGGCGGGCCGCTCCATTTGGTACCCCAGAACAAAGGATACTCCCAGGACGGGTATGCGAGGACATTGACACAGGCAGCTGCTTTTCAGTGTTCACTCTCCCTGCATGGCGCAGACGGCAAACGGAGGGCGACTCTTGCTCCGACCCGAGACCGTGACCGGTTTCGGCCTGTGCGAGGCTGCCGCATTGGGGGAAGATGGAGGGTTGGTGACAGACTGCCAGCCAACCCTCAGCTAACGCCACTGTTCTCCCATTTCTTGCGCGACCGCGGGCAACTTGCTACCCCTCCCCTGCCGACAACTGCCTTGCCCAGCCGTTGTCGAGGGGAGCATTGCCCGCCACTTCTCTCAACGCTACGTTCCTATGGTTCCCGTTGCTCTCGACAGCATGCGGCCGCCTTGACGACCCTCGCCATGAAAGATCAATCTATGGGCCGAGAGGGAACCATCACGTCTGGATGCGGGTTCGCAAGACCAAAAGGAGGCCCTGCTGGTGCTGCCGGATATGTTAATCACAGCTAAGTTGCAGTGGCCTTCGATACACAGCTTTGCCTGTGAGGATGCACGCTGCTTGACAAATGGGGCTTTGTGGTTCACGCGCCTCGTGGGAATTGCCGTTGAACCAGCCATGGAGGCCGTTTTGTGTCCTGCATGGTTGGTCCGCTCGTCCCCGTAAGGCCGTGACCACCAGACCGCCATGCAAATGGTAGAGTCAAAATGGCTCGGACGGCGTGCGCCCTGAAGCCCTGAATTACGAGCCGGACGTGGCTTGGTCAACGGCGGGGAGCACAGTGCAACTTTGGAAAACTCCACGCGCAGAAACTGGGCGGACTGCTTCCGCGCGCCCTGACCACACATGCGAGTATCAACCTTGCATCCACTGACCACGCGGCCAATGGGCTCCGCACACTTTGCCGAAAACCTTGAAGAGTCGAAACACCACAGCAGAGAAAGTATCGCAGAAACGCAGTGCCCGGCTGGCGCGATTGGTAGCGCGTAAGACTTCTACAACATCGCACTCGAGTCATGAGAGGTGCTGGAGTTCCATCTCAAGGCCGTGGGTTCGAGCCCCTACGTCGGGTGTTCCTTTTTGCCCGCTGGCCATCACATTGCGTCTGTAATCACGGTTACATCCCCATTACGTCCCGCGGGTTGTTGGCGACTCTCGAGGCTGTCTTGCAGCGGGGGTGGCCGCCCAGATCACGCCCATGATCGGTCCTGCGACAGGGGGCGATCGCAGACTGTGCCCATCCGCGCTTAGGGCTCGCTCGTTCGCCCAACCCTACAGCGCAGCGCGGTTACGATAAGCCTAGATTCATTTCGCGGCTTTTTAGCCTAGGGTTGGTCGAGGGCCCTGTCAGGCTGATCCAAGTGCGCGAAAAACGCTCGTTCGGCTGAGCTTGCGGTGCGACGCTCTCTTTGCGGCACATCCACGGATGTTTTTGGTCGCGCGCAGCACGACACGTTGATCGGCCCCCCTATCGGTGAAAGGGTATCCCATTTTGCTCGCTCGACGCAGATGGGCATTTCAGGTCTTGACGCTCCCGCACAGTTTTTGCAGCAGATTTTTCGCTCATTTGCGGGTTTGGCCTTTAGAGGGCGCGCTACGTACTCGGCGGAGACACTCTCTCCATCGCCTGGGGGTCCTGTTGTCACAGCCAACGACCACCCCTGTCAGCATCGCACGCCAGTCATTGGCTACTGGATACCGACAGCACGGAACCCAATCACAGCACACCATCAAGAAGGGATACATATTGACCCACACCTCGAGGAAACGCGCTATCTCTGCGGCCAGGCTACCAGGCTGCCCGTCGCCCCCAACGAGACGGCCATTACGACAAAAAGGGACGGGCGAAGTGGTTGGACAGAGCGGAGTCTGCCAAGCGGCGAAGGGGGCCCGTTGGGGGCCTGGGTCTGCCCTCCCATCCAACTTGACCCCCCTCCCCCCCCTGTGATCATGGGACGATGGAGACGATGGAGACGATTGCGGGGTCAGAAACCCACAGTAGCTCTTACACAAGAACTTTGCCGAATACAGCGTGATGGTCCCCTCCATCGGCGACCACGACGACCTCCGACCGCCTGAAACAGAGAGAGCCGATAGGACGAGGGCGCGATACCACGCTGCGAGGGCCAGTGGTTGTGGTTGAGGTTGCATCGATCACTGATGATCGCAGGCACAGCGCACAGCGCACAACGTGCATGGAAGCGCCCGCACGATCCACTGGCATCGGAGGCATCACCCAAAGCAGCATACACTGTTGTGTCCTCGACCACACCAGCAACCTACTATTGATCTGCCGTTGTCAAGAAACGTTTCAACTTCTACCTGGACTCCCATACTGTCAGTATCTACCGTCCACGCTGCAAGCAGGTCGACATCTCGAGTCTTGCTGCCTGCTCCCCACGTTGCAGCAATGGCGCGCCGGGACCAAGTTGCGGTCCAGCTGCCGCCCAATACGGGAGCGGAAAGCACGCCAACGCAGTGCCTCAAATCTCCTGCCTGCGCCAAACGCATGCCGCTGGCAGGGCTCCCTCTGCCGCGCCTAAGACTACGACTAGGGCTTGCCGCGCACCGATTGCCGCGGCCGCCGGGCTGGACCAATGGGCGCACTCGCACCTTTCTGCCTGCTGCCGGCTCTTCTCCTTACTTTGGTCGGGCCACTGACAGCCGCGAACAGATCCCAGATCTACGGATCGAATCATGCCAACGGCGGTAACACGGCATGAACTTCCAAATAGCTCCTACAGCCCCCTTCCTCTTTCTGTGCCCCTCGCGTGTCCATGTCTCTGTACTTGTGTCGACGAGAAGCCGCTTGTATCGGCACTGACGCCCCCCTTGGCGAATCGGCGACCAGTTGTTTACGAAAGGGGCGGGGGCGTGGGGGGGGCGTGTTGGTAGTCTGTCTGGGCTTCGTGTTGGGCTGCTTCCGGCACGTTTTTGTTTCGCAGAAAAAGAGAAGAATGAAACGAAGAACCAACAGACTTGCATGCGGCCACCAGCGGGCAGGAGTAGCAGTCCCTTTTTTTTTTTTTTCTTCCCCACTATGCCTCCATTGGTATGGCATAGGCATGGGCATGGCATGGCATGGCAGGATCGCGATGGGTGGGCGAGGCAACAGAGCCGGTTGGTGAGAGGGTGGGGACATTCCGCGCGCCTGTCACGGCAAGAGCCGACACCTCATCCTACACCACGGGGGATCCTCCCGCGCAAGCGCAAGCGCACAATCTATAGGGCAGGAGAGGAGAGTTTGAAGATCTCCCCTGCGGGGTTGACTGTCTGTCGTACGATGCTACGGCACCGTCTGGCTGTCCGCTTGCACTGTAGTCGTTGCAAAACACGCCCTGGCTGGCTCACACCGGTGGTTGCATGCGTGTCTGGGTGTTTAGTGATTGGAGCCACACAAGGAACATATTGCCATATTGTCACTGGCTAGCAGGCAGACGGACGAACAGGTATGTGGACGCACGTGACGGGGATGTGGTGCTGTGGTGATGTCGCAATTTGATGGGATGTAAGCATATCGCCAACCCAACAGGCTGATGTACGGGGGCATCAAACCCTCTGCCAACCGTCTTCCCCATGGGGGCGTGGCCAGCCGAGACCGGCCACGAGGGCAACGGGCGGGCGTTTTGGTCCCCGACGCCAGACCAGTTGAGTTCTGCGGGGGAGAGAAGTTTCCCTCGGAGAGAGGGGAGGGGAGGAGGGGAGGGGAGGAGGGGAGGGGAGTTCGCATTCACCTGACCTGTTCCTCGGGCGGACAGGCGGCGACCAGCGCATGGCATAGCGCACGTATCAAAGAAGGACGTCGTTGTGAAGGGCAGGCCGGTTGAGGAACCAACAGCGTTTACGACGCTACTTGTCGGGCCGTGGAAGAGGGAGCTACGCTCTCGCGCAGGCAGGAGGCCTAAGCGGGGACATGGAGACTCGAAGACGGGCCATAGACGGAAGAGACAAGAAAGGGAGGCCTTGCGGGGAAGAAACGGTAAGTTCCTTGATCGTCTTGCGTGACTGTTTTTGCTTTTTTTTTTTTTTTTTTTTTTTTTTGCTCAATGAGGCGTGAACCCGGCGTGGAAGCCACGAGGTCTTGAAGCTACCCACCCACTCCGCTTCCCACCTCTCAGCAAAGATGGCAGAAAAATTTGTGATGTGCGAGGATGTCTTTGGGGGTGCGGTGAGACACGAGGAACGCGCGCTTTTCCATCTGGCACTAGTGAATCTGGAGTGATAGATAGATGACAGAGGTTGCCTGGCATATGGCATATGCTGAGAGGGAGGGGGGATGGGAGTGACTGTTGCGCTGCTGTGGCGCGAAGCTTTTCAGGGCATTTTTCTTGACGCGGACACTGTGCTAGCTGGCTTCTTGAGGGACTCACAGCATGGAATAAGGGTTGGGACATCGCACGTAGGGTTTTTCTTTACCTGCGACAGGGTCAAGAGTGTTCGAGGCCCAGCAGACACCCTCCCAAAACGCCTCCCATGTCACCATCGTACGATGTTCTGAGATGGCGGCATCTGCATTGGCGCCGCTTGTCACTTGTGGCTGCCCGTGGCGTCGTAGACAACTCGCCAGCAAAGAGCACAGAAAAAAGCCACCAGGAAGCCAACCCAGTGCCGACACCAGCCGGGCTGCCCGGCCTCGCCGCGCAGCCGATCGGCATCCGAGGTTCTCACTAGCCGAAGCACTATTCTACCTCTTGCTACTGCCGCGTAACTACCGCACCCAGTGCCGCCAGCGAAGGGACACGCACATGCAACTGCAACTACCTGCGTGCGCTGCCAAATGGACGAAGGGAATTGAGCTCAGAGACAACACAGTCCCGCCCACACTTTGCACTTTGCACATTGCCCATGGCCTGCCAAGCGCCTGCTGCTGCTGCTCACTTCCACACGAATTGCAATACTCTCCCACTTTCGCATTTGGAAAACGGCGGGATTGGAATGGACAGTAGCTATTATCGGCACTGCTTGCACCCCAACGCTATGCTGCCACCTAACACAGGGAGACCTCCCTGTGTCTCCCTTCCCGCTGTCAATCCAAGACTAGTTGCCTCGTGTCGAACGACCCCCCCCCCCCCCCCCCCCCCCCCCCCAAAAAAAAAGTGCCTAACATTTTCCCAAAGCAGAATGACCAATTAGCTTGCATCATTCCCCGCGGCCGCTTCCAAAAAACCGATAAGCTTCTTTGGCCCCCATTCTGCTGAGTGCCGCAGCCGCCGCCTCGGCCGCAGCGCTGCAACGAGACAGCAGACCGTTTTTTTTGTTTTCTTTTTTGCCTTTGCCGTGCCTCATAGGGGCATATGAGTTGGAGGGGACGTAGGCGCGCCAACGACAACGACAACGACAACGACGACCAAGGTGAAGAGCACTCTGTCAAAAGTACACGTGTAAATGTGAACAATGAAAAAGCCATTCATGTTTCCATTCCATACCAACGACCATGATGCATGCATCAACGCAAAGACAAGCGCAACCGCAAAGTAAAAACCACCAGCAAAAACCAAGCTCGTCCACCCCCAAGTGTTCCCCAAGTCAAGTGCCGCCCATCTCCCATCCATGCGTGCAAAAGCAAAACCTAGCAGTTTTTCGTTTCCGCGCCTCTTTCCCTTTCGCCGGTGCAAATGCTATGTATGCTAGCCCGTCCAGTCAGTGCTGTGAGCGCCGCGCCGTTTCCGTTTCCGTTCCCAGAATATCCCTGTCCTTTATCGCCAACTCCATCAGACAGGCCCCTGGAGAAATCGCCAAGTAACAAAGACAAAAGTTGGGGGACAAGAACGTTTTAGTCCTCGTATCTGCTGCTCTGTCAAGGCAAAGCAGGACGAGGCAAAGCAAATGCAATATCGGAAGGCGGAACATCCGTGCGGTGTTGCCCATGTCTCGCAAAGCGCCCGTACCGTTCCGCTGGGTTCAAGGCACCAGTGACGTTCCTCCACCAAGTGCCAACGAACCGACCCCCAAGTCCAGCGCTAAACGGAAAAAAAAAAAAAGAAGGAAAAAAAAAACAACCGAAAATACAACCCCCGAAGAGCAAAACGGAAATTTGACAAGAAAAAAACAGGGCAGTGATCAACTAGTAAAC